GGACATATTGTCAGGTGGGACCAGTCGCTAGAGAAGGATATCATATTTGGTAGGGTAGAGGGTCAGAGAAAAAGAGGAAGCCCCCAACAAGATGGATTGGCCAAGTGGCAGCATTGATGGACTCAAGCATGGCAACAGTAATGAGGTTGGCCCAGGATTGGGCATTGTTTCTTTTTACTATGCATAAGGTCGCTATGAGTCGGTACTAACTCGATGGCATCTAACAGCAACACCACCTTATGCATATCTGTGCCCTAGCAATGTTGTATTGTAGTTACTGGTTTACTTGACTATCTCCCTGACTAGGCTGAAATATCTGAAGACAGTCTGTCATATTTATATACATAAGATTTAGCCTAGGATATGTAATTAGTAAAAATTTGTTGGTATGGATGTAGTATGTGGGCTATAAACTGAATTTATCAAATCAGTGATTTATTCCTCTAGGGTGGAAAATCTCTCAGTAATTGAAATAAAACTTTGGGGGTAGTAAAGTTCTGTGATCGTGGTCAGAGCCGAGAGACACATGAATATTAGTAATTTTGGTGGGTTACCTCCACAGAGTAGTTACTCTCACATATAGCCACACTTTGCAGTTGTTCCTTTACAGTTCTCATTTGACTATTTCCATGCTTGAACCACCGACCTTGCAATTCAACTGACTTTGCAGTCTGACACATTAGCCCACAGCGCCACACCAAGAGTCCTCCTCTCTAAAGTTTTAACCTTTCAATAGAATGTAGGCTCTTAAATATTAAAATAATAGCTCTCTCACTGGAATATCTTGCTTTATTATTATAGAGCAGAAATAACTGTTTTCATGTGTGGACCAGATAATGGCTATAATATACAGCCAGCATAACCATTTTCATGGTGGTTACAGTGGCTTTTTTAATAATAACTTCAGAGAAAGAATTGGAATGAATTATTCATTGGCAATATGCATAAAAGTACACTTTGAATCATAGCTTTTTAAAATGGGATTTTATTTTGTTGACCTCAATCAACAGTACTTCATTACCTTGAAGATGTTCTGTTTTTCCCCATCTGTAATAATAATAATACTATTATTAATTTTTAAAATTAATATTCAAATATGTCAAATTTAGAACGATTTTACATGACAAAAGTTGGAGGGCCATGAAAAACAAATAGATCATTCAGTCTTGTGGGGTGTTTTCCAAGATATTCATTTCCCTTATCCGTATGTGTAGCATTTTATACAATGACCTGTAGTTTAATTACTTATGAAACTTTTTTTAAAACCCACCTATAATGTATAGATGATTACCTATTACATCTGTCAGGATCAAATTTATCGCAGTTGTTTGGTGGTGATGTGAATTAAATTATACCACGCACTACAATGTTTGATGACACTAAATCCTAAAGCATTGTGGACCCCATTAACATGCATGTGCTAGAGCCAGGTTTTTACCTTGCTTGTATGCCCCTGATAAGAAGATTTAAATGACTATGGAAAGATTTTTGCTCTAGGGCAAAGAACTCAATGGAAATCCATTTATATAACTTGTATGTGTGGTATTGAATGACACAAACTAGTGGTGGAATGTAGTCATTCATATGTAAAGGTGGTTCTTCCAGGGAGCTGCCTAGGTCTGATAAGAAAAAGAGGGATGGAGGCGGGAAGCAGTGCTTTTATAGTATGTGTTTAAGCCGTCTGAGAATTACCCACCCAGATACTACTCATTACAGTGCTTTTCCATCCAGTGAGAAATATGTTCAGAGGCAAAAGTATCTTTATCTACTTTTGAAGTGATTGTTGTTTTGCTATAAAGATAGCTTCAGGAATCGCCAGTGTGATACTTGTAAAAATGCAAATTAACTCCACTACTGCTTTATCAGATGTGAACTTCTACCAGTAAGCAATGCAATATGAACCAAAGGAGAACAATTTACATCTTGGCTTGAGCAACATTTCATAAATAGATTTTTATCTGAACTATTAGACCTCTGCACTCTGAACCTGTTTTAGAGAAGACTTTTTATTAAGGTTAACATAATTCACTTTAAAATATAGTTCTTTCTCCCATTGAATATACCTATTTGGAGCAGTTGACTTTTGTATGTTTGTGGCCCTTGTTAAAATTGCAGAAGGTCATCATTCTGTATTTATCTACTTCCAATACCATTCCAGTCTTTATCATTATGACCTAAAGAGATGGTGAGGTGGCCAATGTGGATCTGATCCCTCTTAAATGAAGAAAAGTATTAGTGCTTTTGTGTTGTTTTCATATATTATGATATACATTAATACATGAACTATATAATATACATTAACTAATATAGATTATTATTCACCCTCCCCCTAAGAAAAGGATCTTGTTTTAGCTATGTGATGTTGTGTATGTACTGAATTCTAACCTCCAATCTGGTGATTTTGTTGTTGGTAAGTGCCGTCGAGTTGATTCCAACCCATAGCCAACCCTGTATAGGGTTTCCCAGGAGCGGCTGGTGAGCTTGAACCACCGACCTTGCAGTTCAAACTGACTTTGCAGATCCACGCCACACTAGGACTCCTAATCTGATGTTAAGACTCTAATGTTCTTGTAAATGCTGTGAAGTCAGTTCCAAATCAGCAACCCTGTATAGGGTTTCCGAGGAGTGGCTATTGTGTTTGCACCAGCAACCGTCCTGTTCAAACTGACTTTATGATCGAGTTCTTATCCTGCAGTGCCACACCAGAACTCCGTCTACTGTGGTAGGCATTAAAAAATGTTCCTTTCTCCCTTTTAGTGCTCCTTTGTTGATACCACTTACTGGAACGAAAACATCGGCTTCAATGGATAAATACGCTGTGTTTAAAGGAATTGCAGCTGACAAGACCTCTGAAAATACTGTTCCATTTGGAGGTAAAAGCAGTTTGTAGATTTATAAACCCTGTGAATGTAACATTTAATTAGATTGTATGACTTTGTTTTGAGTGGTGGCCTTTTATGTTAAATGTGTAAAATGCTTATGTTACGCATCAAGTATGCTTGCTAACCTTACTTTTTTGAGTTGTGTTCTCAAGGTTCCTAACCTTAACTGAGCTATGGGTTTGGTTTTTTTTTTGTATTTTAGAGCCTGGTGATAAATATAGTGCTTTCAGAGAACTTGAACAGACAGCAGAGGGTAAATCTTTAGGTAAGGCTTTGATTCCTTCAATGGATAAATTATTTTCATTTTTTAATAAAATGGACTTTTGATAATTCTTTAATGACACTCCTGAACATTATTTCATTGTGTGTGTGTTTTAGGAGAAAAAAACTGAATGGGTATAACTATATAGTGTTATAGTGATTATTATGATTGATATTCAAAGTGAATATATTTAAATTCAATAAAACTTAATGGGTACCTACTATATTTAATAAACATTGTGCTAGGAGCTGGGTGGGGTAATTACCTTGTTAGAAGAGGGATGAGACTTTACTTATTTGTTTGTGGCTCTGGAAATTACAAAGAGGTAAAATAAGGGAATTATTTTCTAAAATTTAGAGCAGACCACAAATGACTGCAATTTTCTCTGAAGGTAGTGTATTGTTTCCCTGAAATCTTTCAAGCCAAGTTCAATTCCTATGTCAAATAGAGGGCAGTGTCTTTACGTTACAGTAGGTGAATTAAGAGATATTCAACAAGACTTGAACTGTGACTAGTACAGCATCTTATGGACTACAGAAATTTATGGACAGCAGTAGGCAGCAACCAGTCTTTTGCTTTTTAAAGTTTTCAAGACTAGCTATAATATCGGGTATGAAAGTATAAAACTTCTTAGTTATAACCAAACACCTTAAGGAATAAGGCCCTAAGTATCTGGCCCTGGGGGCTCAGAACAATAGTTTTGGGGGACACCCAGGTCAATTGGCATAACATCTTTTACAAAGACAATGTTCTACATCCTACGTAGGTGAGTAAGTAGAATGTTGCTGTTAAGAGCTGTGAAGTCAGTTCTGACTCTTAGTGACACTGTATAGGGTTTCTGAAGAGCAACTGGCAGGCTGGAACTATGACCTTGTGGTTAGCAGTCTAGTGCTTATCCTATTGCACCACACTAGGATTCCTGGTGAGTAGCTACTGGGGTCTTAAAAGCTTGTGAGTGGCCATCTAAGGTGCCGCCATTGGCCTTTCCTGTCCGGAACAAAAGTGATTGAAAAAAATCAAAAACATATGGAAGCAATTAGACCAATGGACTAGTGAAACTCAGCCTCCACAACTCTGGCACCAGAAGATCTAAATGGTGCCCGGCTACCAATGCTGACCACTCTAGAAGAGATTGTATTAGAAGGTCTTGGACAGAGTGGGAGAAAAATGTGGAACAAAACTCAAAATCATAAGACCAAGTTACTAGTCAGATAGAGACTGGCATTACTCTCAAGATTATGGCCCTTAACCACCTTCAGGCATGGCACTAAACTCAGTCCCATGGCTGTTTTCAGCCAAACAATGCACAGGTCCATAAGGAGATTAACACTAGAAAGGTACGCACTTCTCAGAATAATGAATCATTTGAGACCAAAAGGGCAGTATTTATCCAAGGTTCTTCTGAACTTTTGAACAAATAGGAATGAAAAACACAAGAAGAAGGTGGGATAAATGATGTTTATTGTGGGAATTGCAATCTCCATGACATGAAACAAAATGCATATGAATTGTTAAATGGAAAATTATTTGCTCGATAAACTATCACCTGTGCAGCGCTGTGGGTTAATGCTCTGAACTGCAAGGTCAGTTTGAACCACAGGGTCGGTGGTTCAAGCTCACCACCCGCTCCTCAGAAACCTATACAGGGTCACTGTGAGTCGAAACCAACTCAACGGCCCTTAACAACAACAACTGACAATAAAAGTTAAAATAAATACATTCAAATAAAAATGAGTTACTATTTTTGCTTTATAGATTACAAGGGGAAAAATTTGCTGTAGTTTAATGAGAAAGATTAAATGAGAAATGTTTATGTGCATATACAGTTTCCAACTGATAAAAGGGCTGAAGTAGATTTAAAAGGAATAGAGAAAGATCACTTAAGAGCCATGTGTATAAAGACAAAATTATGTTAGTGGCTAAATCCCACAATAAACATAGTGTTTGGGTTTTAGATAATCCACAGGTTAAATATCCTCTAAAATTTACTGTGCATGCTCTAAATTGTGTATATTTTTACTAAGGATTTCCTTTAGGGAACAGTACCTTATCTTTACTTTTATGCACTATAGGATCAGCACTGGACTTCAAACCACAAGGTCAGTAGTTCAAACCCACCAACTGTTCCTTGGAAACCCTATATAGAGTTGCTGAAAGTCAGAACCAACTTGATGGCACTTAGCAGCAATAATCCTCAAATTTGGAATATCCTTCAAGAATAATTTATTTCTACTCCTTTCTGCCTGTTGGGGTGGTTGGTGGGGAGAGGTGTGGTAGAAACTATACTGCTTAACCATCTCTAAAAAAAGGAAGGCCACCTCTTCTAAGTATATTCATCCCTTTACAGCGCAGGTTCTGGGAAGATTTTCTTGTGTCTCATCCAAGCCTTTAGGATGTAATGTCTGTTTCTTCCTCAGAGCGCATGTCAGGTTCTAGGAGTACAAAGATAAGCCCTAGAGAAACTTTTGGTTGATTAAGTTTTCATTTAACTCCTAGCAATGCTTTCATCAAGTCTTTGGCCGAGACAAGTGTGAAACAAAGAGCATGATTGAATCTCAGGGTTCTCTGTGGAGCGTGTATCAGGGACTGTATGGCATGTATTTTGTGAAAGACAGTGCTGCCACCGTACCTTCACCACTTGCCATCCAGTCAGTGCAGACTCATGGCAATGCTGATTAACGGCGATCTCATGTGTCCTGGGCTCCGTAGGGGTTTCAGTAGCTAATTTGTTTGGAAGTACATTGCCAAGTCTTTCTGCTGGGTTGTTTCCTGATGGACTCAAACCTCCGAACTGTGGGTTGCAGCTGAGTATGTTAATTGTTTGCACCACCCAAAGACTCCTCCTAAGCAGTTAGGCGCTGCCAAGTTGGTTTTGACTCATGGCGACGCCACGTGACAGAGTAGAATTACCCCATAGATTTTTCTATACTGTAATCTTTGCAGGAGCAGATCGCCAAGTCTTTCTCCCACAGTGCTGCTGGGTGGAGTCATACCCCTGACCTTTCAGTTGGCATCTGAGCGCTTAATTGTTGTACCACCAAGACTCCATTAGATACATTGTCATCCAGGCAATTCCGACTCCTAGTGTCTCTATAGAACAGAGCAGAACTACCCCATATGGTTTCCAAAGCTGTAATATTTACAGAGACTGCAGGTTAATGTGCTGGACTGCCATGTCCGTTTGAACCGCAAGGTCGGCTGTTCAAGCTCACCAGACGCTCCTCAGAAACCCTATACAGGGTCGCTATGGGTCGGAACCGACATGAGGGCACTTAACAATCTTTATCGAAGCAGACTCACATCTTTCTCCCACTGAGCATCTGGTGAGTTTAACCCAACAACCTTTTAGTTAACAGCCAAGCATTTAGCCACTGCCCCACCAGGCCACAGTACTTTAGTCATCCTTTTATTGACAGAGTCCTAGATTGTTGTCTTTTTGTTTGCTTGCCTTTATTCCTGTCGTAACTTAGATTCTAAGGTCCTCCAAGCAGAAATGCCAACTTTGTACATTTTAGGTGAATGTATTTTAAAACTCTTCACGGAGTAATAACTTTTTTTATGCTCATTAATAATGCATCAAAGTATGTAAAGCCTTTATTTGTAGAGAATCTTATCGTGCTATGTTCAGAGCTGTGGATTCCTTAGGTTATTAAATGACACAAGTTAATAATATTCCCTTTTTTTACCCCCACGGTATAAGCTATAATCTAAAGTAGATGAGGAAAATGTTCTATATGTAATAGTGACACCTCTAATTAAAGTTTTAGCAAAGTATGATCTCTTTTGAGATGTTATTGTTAAGTGCCATCAAGTCAGTTCCAACTCATAGCGACCCTGTATAGGGTTTCCAAGGAGCAACTGTTGAGTTTGAACCACCGACCTTTTGGTTCAAACCGACCTTATGGTCCAGTGCTTTATCCCACAGCGCCACACCAAGATGTTATTAGAATCTAAAAAGTGACAACTGGAGAAGGAAATTTAAGAAAACTCAAAAGTTAACTGGAAAACTACCCAGGAAATAATAATAGGCTTCCTGTATCTTCTGATGTGCAAGCTTCTGCAACTAATTTATTTGCCCAAAAAAAATCTATTTGTGTTTGAATTTATAAACCCATCTTTTTTTTTTTTAACTCTCACCCAGCTTACATTTCTGAAGGAAGAGTTTACAGTTCAACACTAAGTTTAGTTTGCTGTGGTGATTTTTTTTCTAAAATAACAAAGCAAAACTTGTCGATTTAGCAGACATTTCAAAGCAACACATCAAACGTGTAGACTGTGTTAAAAGCAAATACTTATTACCCTCTCATTTACAGAAATAATCAGGGGAGGGGTAAAGCCAATGTTCTCCCATGTAAATTATCACTCAGTTCACAATAAAAATTTAAAAAAAAAAAAAAATCGGTGATACCCATGCCTAAAATGCTTGGGTGATTTTTAAGTTTTATATCTGCTTCTCTTGTCAATATGTGAAATTGACTTTAGTTTTATTAGTGATATGTCTTGAAAACATAAATGACAGGAAATCTGAATGCTATGCCTCTCTTTCTAAAATGTCCCTAATATTATTAACTGGATTCCTCTGTATTGATAAATGATGCTGGTCAGTTGGCTTCAGATTAGGATGAACGCTTATTTCCCATTATTGTCCATTCTTTTTTCGTTTGATTTATCAAAGTAAATGCCATGTTATAAGCACAACATATTTGAAGTCTACATTATTTTATATGCCTCTTTTAGGAATTCAGTTTGGGTTTTAATTGTATTTTTATGGTTCATAAACTTCTGTATTTTTTTAGGGAAGAAATAGGATTTTTTTTTTCAAATGGGAAAAGCAATTAATGGTTGTATTCAAATGTTTTTAATTTCCAGAAGTGGCAGTCTTATTTTTAATAAGTGATGGTGGTATAGCTATGTTTGGTATATATGGCTTTCATTACTTGGGATAGTGTAGTGGATTTTATGGAAGACCTTGAGATACCAGTGTTGTTGTAATTAGGTGTCATCAAGTTGATTCCAACTCACAGCGACCCTGTATAAGGTTTCCAAGGCTGTAAATCTTTACAGCAGCAGAAAGCCCCAGTCTTTTTCCGACAGAGCATCTGGTGGGTTTGAACTGCCAACTTTGTGGTTAGAAGTCCAGTGCTTACCCTACTGCACAACCAGCACTCCTTCAGAAAACTGAGATCATGTGCCTCCTAATAACAAATGTTCAAGTGATAAGCCTACTCTGAACTAAAGAAAAGAAGCCTTATTATAAGACTCATGAGCCCAGATTTTTATCCACATGTTTACTGAGCCTATTTAGTTATTTATGAGAGAAGTACATTAACCCCTATGCTCTCTAACCAAAAAATAAAAAAACTCTATCACTAACTCATCTTCAGAGCAGCATACTATAAACTAAAGTCTTAGTTATTTCCATGGGAATTTTAAATAATAGCAGTGGTATTTATTCACATCTCTTTGAATTTTAAAAATAAGGATCAGTGCTCATTGGTACAGTGAGATGGTTGATTTCAAGAAAAGTTCATCTGCTCACAGATTTTTCTATGAGATTTAGCTTGTTTAGTTGGAAGGTATGGGGGAAAAAACTGCTTTAAAATGTACTCTTAGCTACATTTTCATCACAGTTCCCTTCAAATTCATGCCTTCATATACTTGAACAAGATCACGTAGTTCCTACAGTGCCTAGTTGAGCAAAGTGTTGTACATACTGAATTCAACAATGCCGAACTTCTCATAATACTTCATGGGCACCTCTAATGTTTTCTTTTTCTTATCGATGATGGAGTAACAGGCTTTCTCTTTAGAGGGCCACTCCTCTGTCTTCAGCACCTATTTCATATTCTTTTGTCTGCTCTTATTTTATGCATGCTGGCTAGTCATAGGGAAAAAATAAATGTTCTGAGTATGCGTTCGGCCTACTAGAAACATAAGCAACTGAAAATGGTACTATTAGGTGTTCTCATTTTGATTTTTATTTATTCCCTTATCGATAACTAGACTTCTTTATGGAAACAAGTATGTGGTCTCCAAAGACATAATTTGGTGGGTTTTAAACTGGTTAAATAATGTCAAGCCAGTAGAGAAAAATCTTAACAAATTATGCGTGTCATTTAATATGTTGTGCATTATGCGGTTTTCAGTTCAACGTTTTTTGTGTTTTTTTTGGTTATGTTTTTCTTTCAGGAGAAAGCTTTGCAGAATTCAGAGGTCCAGGAGCTGATGATGGTTTTACTGATTTTAAAACAGCCGATAGCATATCACCACTAGAGCCGCCAACAAAAGATAAAACTTTTCCAGCATCCTTCACCTCAGGAACTATACAACAGAAACAACAAACACAAGTGAAAAATCCTCTGAACCTAGCAGACCTAGATATGTTTTCCTCAGTCAGTTGCAGCAATGAAAAATCAATGTCTTTCTCAACAGCATTTAGTGCGTCAAAATCCATTTCAACACGACCACCACCAACTGATTGTGCTGCAACTACAACAGCATTGGCGTCAACTAAAACTTCTGGTTTGGCTGATGATTTTGGAGAATTCAACCTTTTTGGGGGATATTCTAGTCCAACATCTGTTGGAGAACAGGATGATTTTGCCGATTTTATGGCTTTTAGTAATAGCTCAATTTCATCTGAGCAAAATGCAGATGACAAATACGATGCCTTGAAAGAAGAAGCTAGCCCTGTTCCTCTCACCAACAACTCGGGCAGCACAGTGAAGAGTGGACAGAATCCAACTGCTGCACCTACTAAATATGATGTCTTCAAACAGCTTTCTCTGGAAGGATCTGGACTAGGTGCTGAAGAACTTAAAGAGAGCACTCCTTCAGGAAAAAGTGAGGATGATTTTGCTGACTTCCATTCCAGTAAATTTTCTTCCATGAACTCGGACAAATCCCTTGGAGACAAAGCAGTGGCCTTCAGACACACCAAAGAAGACTCTGCTTCTGTGAAGTCCTTGGATCTCCCTTCCATTGGAGGCAGCAGTGTTGGCAAGGAGGACTCTGAAGATGCACTCTCTGTTCAGTTTGACATGAAATTGGCTGATGTGGGAGGCGATCTTAAGCATGTCATGTCTGATAGCTCTTTGGATTTGCCCACAGTTAGTGGCCAGCATCCTCCTGCTGCAGGTGAGGAATTGGTGCGATTGCTCTGGTGATGGTGATGGTGATGTAGATTTCAAAGATGATTCTTTAGGCGTCCGTTGACTGAAGAGTGAGGTACTGGCCTGTGAGCTTTAGGAATTTCTAATAATCTCTTTGTTGCCAGCCCCTTGGAGCAGTGTTAAACGTGACTCGATGGCAACTTAGAATGGAGAATTAAAATATTCTTATTTTTGAAATCTGACAGGCACATAAAAACCTACTGCTAAATTAACTCACATTGCCAGAAATTTTATAAAGACTTTGCAGTGTCAGCAATGTTTCTCCATTTCTGTGAACAAGATCAGTGTTGCCCTCTCCTTGTTTTTCCTCTTGGATTTATTTCGCAGCTGCCAGTATAGTAATCTGTCTGGTTTACAAAACTGACTCTTGTTATACCAAGAAAGTAAAACTTGCTAATCAGTTGTACTACAGTGTGTCATGTCCCTTCAAGAGAAGAGGGAAAGAGCTTATACATGGGTGTCCCATATGCCAGGGTGTGGCAAGAACGAGGCCTTGTGTTGTTGTTGACGGTGGCATCCAGGTACTGTTTTTAGTGTTAGCTCTATTACTGGAAGTATTAAATTGTAACAAGTCTCTAGATGCTAGAATAGGTTACTAACTTTCTGATGAAATATTTGAAAACTGACTAAAAACAATTAAAGAAATTGTTTTCAGTGACTGAAAATGTCTTGTAGGGAACACTCTTTAAATTCTGTGTGAGTTTACATGTAGCAGTTTAATCTCCAGTCCAACTTCCTAGTCATAAAATCTAGATTCCCAAGTGTCCTAGTTTTTTATTTTGTTTTGATTCTTGATATGTTTATAGAAGGAGAAACCTATTTTGTGGCCTTTAATAATGAGAATGATCTCAGCATTACTGTATTATTCTAGAAAACGTATTATGCACATAGAGGTTTTGGGAGGAATGAGAGGAGGACACATCAGACACTTGGCAAGTGTACAGAGTTAGGCAGAAAGTATTCAGTGATACAGTGTTTGCATATATTAAATTGGTCAACTGGAGAGCAAACTGGCGTCCATTCTTTGGGTATTGAAGTGGTAGAGGTAAACAGGGTGCTAAATCAGGAGCAAGTTAGCAGAGACAACCCATGTTTCCTACTGCTACTTGCTGAGGTGTGTTCCAAGGGCAGTGGGCTGTGGGAAGAACCCCTTGTGCCCTTGACTGTCTGCTTTCCTTTTTGGTACTCTTCCCTTTATGTTGTTGGCGTTTGTTTGATAGAGTGATTTTGTTTTGTTCTGTTTGGGGTATGAGCTGCCTGAGCCAAAGCAGTTGGTTGCAATACCCCAGTTTCTAACAACAGTATTTGCATTTATTTAAGTATTTCCTAACAAGTATACTAGCCATTTTGGACTCTGAAGTTATTAATTAGAGGCTATTTTTCTGAAAGTGCATCTATATATTCTTTCACAGTGCCAAATTAGATGTGTTTATGAGAGAAGTCTAAACCCGGTTTTGGGGTGTATTTTTATTTTTAAATTTATTTGGGAAGGGGAGATTGGTTTTTTTGACAGTGTTTGTGCTTACTGACCTGTTAAAATAATCTTCTGTGCTAATGTTCTTTGATGTATGTTTGGAACACTCCCAGCTTTGAACCTGTAATGTTCGAGCCAAGTCTACTGAGTTTGAAGATGTTCTTAAATCAGACTGTTTTCGCCCTTGACCTGTAAACCTTTTGTCAGAAAGGAGCAGTATCCCTTTAGAGCGGTTGATAAAAGGGTTGATGGTTGATGTCTGACCAATAAGCTATATTATTGTTTAGAAAAATTGCTGCATAATTGTAGAAGATAAATACCAGAGACTTCATCAATGTGCTTTGGTTTTATTTTATCCTCATGTTCACCACAGGATCTCTTGCTGTCTTAAGCTGTCTAAAGGTACTTCTTGTTGGAGAAAGAAGAGAGACTAAAACCTAGTAGATTGACCAGAATTCTGTTTAGAAATCCTAACTTAACTCTGAAGGGGATACTGTCTCTTTTAACTCTTGCTATTATTCTTTGTATGGAAGGTAGATAATACTAATAACGTTGCCTGATTTCTTTGCATATTATTACGTTTAACACTTTGAGCCCTTGCTGCATATAATTTCAACTCAGCTGTGTTTCCCCCCCCTGCTAAATTTAATCTCTCTGGCACGGAAGTATCCTGATGTGCCGTCATTCAGATCATCTGGTTTTATTGGCAGCAAGAGTTTACCCATCATATGAGACATTCTCAAAGGGTTAGCAAGACTTCTTTAGCCACCTACCTACCTACCTACCTACCTGTAAAGTAGCTCTTTTCTTGGACATTGAAAAACCTTTGTATTTTAATCAATGCCGTATTTATTTATTTAATTTATTTTGGCTGCTTTCTGATGTCTTTTTTCCCCCCCAATTTAGACATTTTTCTGTGTGAATGTGCCTTTTCAAACTTGCTTTAGTATACCCCTCTGCAAATACTGATCTGCATGCTTATTCTGATGACTTCCTTTCCAGCTCTTCTGTACCCTCTCTTTTGTGATCTGTAAGTCCTGTGTTAATAAATCATTCTTTGGCATATTTTCAAAGTGTGGGGGTGTGTGTAATTTGTACATTTTCAGGGTTAGAACAAAGAAATGCCTGGTTCAGATCAAGTTTAAAGCAGTAGTTTCCTCTGGGACTTTTGAGGGCTTTTACCCTTTTGTTTGTTTATTTCCCTCAAACACCTTTTTCATTAGGAAGCATTTAGTAAGTGCATTTTTGTCCTCTTATAATTCCATTGACGGATGTTTTTAATTTGACATTGGAACTGAAATATAACTTTTAGTGTTTGAAAAAATCAGGTAATCTTATACCGCTTTTAGTGTAATAACAAAACCCAAGGCTACTGCCATCCAGTCGATTTTGATTTATAGTGACCCTATATAGAGTTTCCAAGACTACAGATCTTTACAGGAGCAGTCAGTCTTGTCTTTCTCCTCCCATATATAGTGACTGGTGGGTTTGAACCACTAACCTTGCGGTTAGCAACCCAGTGCCTATACCACAGCACCACCAGGGCTTAAATGTAATTGTGTTAAGTGCCGTCGAGTTGGTTATAACTCATAGTTATCCTATATAGGGTTTCCAAGGCTCAGCTGGTAGGTTTGAACTGCTGACCTTGCCGTTAGCAATCCAGTGCTTATCCTAAAATGCCACTTAGGGAGAGATTTAAATGTACCTGTTTCTTCTAAAGAAGCAGTCCATTTCATTGCTTAGTAAACATTACAGAGCCTGTCTCTCTACTAGTAGTTACAGTGTGAAGAGGAGAAGGGTTAGGTGAGGAGGAAGAACTAGTTGCCTACTGGGGAAACTAGAACACAGCTATCTGTTAATAACTAGATATCAATAAACTGAATTTAAAATAAAGCATCAAATGGTATTGATGTATAAAGGGGCTGCAAAAAAGTTTGTGAAAAAATTATATTATGTTTTCATTCCATTTTTCCACGAATTTTTTGATGCCACTTTGCACTTCTGATCACAGTAAATAAAAATGAAATTTAAATTGATCATTTCTATACTACAAGGTGTTCTCTGTGAATCCTAGAAATAGTCGGGACTGACTGATTTGTGCTTGAAATAGGCAGTACTCCACCCTCTGATTGCAAAGTGCCTAGTTTTGAGACTTCAGAATATAGTATGAAGCCCACTCTCAGGTCTTGTTTATGGATACTCCATAAATCAAGTTCTTAAAATGACTTTGGAGGATATGTCAGACAAAGTAAGGTTTAAAATATTTTCAGTTTTTGAAAGAAAACATTTGCTAGAAGGTTCAGTGAAAGTTAGCAACAAGGTTCAGTGAAAGTTAGCAACAAAAGTTTTGCATTGTAGAGAATTGTTGTTATTGTTGTTAAGTGCCATCGAGTCGGGTCCGACCCATAGCGACACTGTACAGGGTTTCCAAGGGTGTAAATCTTTACGGGAGTAGAAAGCCTCATCTTTCTCCCGCGGAGCGGCTGGTAGTTTCAAGCCGCTGACCTTAAGGTTCACAGCCCGATTCGTAACCACTACGCTACCAGAGCTCCTTATTGTAGAGAATAAGAGGTGAAAACTTTGGGAAATGCAATTTTTTTTTTTTTTTTTGACAGAACTCTTAAATCAGTAAAAACCATGGGAAAAGGGTTATTTCCATGACTTACAATGTTTATTCTTTTGCTTTAAGGTTTTGGCTCTTTGTACTTTTATAAAATAAGAGAGAGAGAAAATTAAACCACCAAATGATTCCTCAGAGATCGTTTCTAAAATAGTGCTTTTTGAGAAACAAAAAAAATTGCATGTTGGGATTTAGATTAACTGTAAGAAAAGTTAGGTCTGACATGCAAAATAATGTTTTTCTAGAACGTAAGGCTTTAGATAGTTGAATAATAATACTTGGTTTTAAAAAGCTTATATAAATGTATTATTCTCCAATTATGATACGTGCTGCTAACAAGTGTGGGCAAGAGATCTTAGTGTAGCCTCCATCTAAGGATAATGCCATTTGCCGTTTTTTCAGAATGTTCTGGTGCTATGAATAAGATCAGTCTCTTGGTTGCTTGTGCTGTAGAATTCTTAGACAAATAGAATTAATTCTTGAATGCTGGATTGGTCCATGTGGGAGTGACCTGTTTTAACTCAAGACTGGATGTAAAACATTTATTCACAAACTGAGCAATGAATGTTTCCCCAGTTATGTATTTCCTTTTAAGGAAATTGTTTTAATAATATAATAATATAAACCTTTTTGTTAATTATTGTTGAAACTTGAAGAACTCAGCTGCAGGTTTAAATAAGCAAAAATTGGTCTGTTTTCTTGCCAAGTAAGATTGGTTAGTGCTTGATTCCATCACTTCCTGAGAAATTAAAATGTATTGTTGCTGTTGTTAGGGGCTGTCAAGTTGGCCCCTACTCATGTGACCCTGTGTCTGTGAAGGTGAAATACCACGTGACCCTGTACCATTCTCACAGTCATCGCTGTGTTTGAG